TAATTCTCACATAATAACATTAAAAGTACAATGTAGAGTAGAATTTGCGTCACGAGTAGGATTTTCATTTCGTATTTTCGTTGGTCGTTCGGAATCCTACTTCATCTTGTTTTTTTTAATTTTTTATGTTTTTATATATCTTTATGTCATTTTACAGTCAATATCATCATCACAGCCAGAAAGGCAGCAAATGTCATCACGACTAAAAAGGCTGCGTTACTATAAAGCACAGTCATAAGTTACAATTGTACATGCACACAGAGAAAGTGTAACTATGTATCATATAACCTGGGTGATAGTGAACCTTGATTGAAGGCATAATAACTATTATAAGTTTTTAACGACCTCCTTCCGCCCATGCTCCTTTATGTGAGTGGGCGTGGCCACGGCAAACAAAATAGCGGCTTACATATGGGAAAACTTTTGTGCTTTCTAACAGCAAGAGAACTTAGAGATACTGTTTAAAAACTTCTCTAGAAGCATTAGAAGGTAGAGAGAACCTCTGTATATCTTAATAAGCGCCCAGCTATGCATGCAAGGTGGTGAAAACAATTAATAGGAATGTTTTTTACACTGTTACGCTTGTTTTTGACTTCTTTTAAAAACTGCCAATTTAACTAAGCCATTATAACTGATGCCACTTTAGGATTTAAGCTACTAGAATGACAGAATTGACTTGTGGTTTTTAATTTCATGGTGTCATTTCAAACCACAAAAACCAGGAAAGTTTTTGGCCACGAAATTTTCCAGCTATATGGTATGTGGCTAACTGGCTATGTATCAACTTCATTACTTCAATTATCAAATTCATTTTAGATCACTTGACTTACTAAGAAATGAACTTTTGTGTTTTCCATAGCCATAAGTGGCATAAAATTAGTATATCTTGGGTTGTCAATTAAATTCTTTTTTTTCATTAATTTTATTTATTTACATTCTTTATGCCATTTTACAGTTATTGTCCTCATCACATCCAGAAAAGCAACGGATGACAATACCCTCACCAATGTTAGTGTCCTCATCATGGCCAGAAAGGCAATGGATGTCATCACGACCAGAAAGGCGACGGATGTCATCACGACCAGAAAGGCCGCGTTACTATGAAGCACAGTCAGTAAGTAACTATTAATTTGTATTAGATGCAGAGAAGGTGTGGCCTTGACCATATAAACTGGTCATAGTGAACTATTTTAAGTTTTATGTGTGACTTCTTTTAAAACTGCCAATTTAACTAAGCCATTATAACTGATGCCACTTTATAGGATTTAAGCTACTAGAAAGACAGAATTGACTTGAATTTCATGGTGTAATTCTAAACCATGAAAACCAGGAAAGTTTTTGGCCACGAAACTTTCCAGCTATATGGTATGTGGCTAACTGGCCATGTATCAAATTCATTACTTCAATCATCAATAAATTCATTTTAGATCACTTGACTTGCTAAGAAATGAAATTTTGTATTTTCCATAGCCATAAGTGGTATAAAATTAGTATATGTCGGGTTGTCAATAAAATTCTTTTTTTCATTAATTTTATTTATTTACATTCTTTATGCCATTTTACAGTTATTGTCCTCATCACATCCAGAAAGGCAACGGATGCCAATATCCTCACCAATGTTAGTGTCCTCATCACAGCCAGAAAGGCAATGGATGTCATCACGACCAGAAAGGCTGCGTTACTATGAAGCACAGTCAGTAAGTAACTATTAATTTGTATTAGATGCAGAGAAGGTGCGGCCTTGTACCATATAAACTGGTCATAGTGAACTATTGTAAGTTTGATGTGACTTCTTTCAAAACTGCCAATTTAACTAAGCCATTATAACTGATGCCACTTTAGGATTTAAGCTACTAGAAAGACAGAATTGACATCTTAGGAAATTTTATTAGATTTATTTTAATAGAGTCAAGAAAAAGCATGTACATGTAAATTTAAAATTATTAGTCACTTGATATGCTAAGAAATAAAATTGTGATTTTCTTTACAGTTTTTTAATAGTTTAAAAGTGGCATAATAATTAGCAGATGTTGGATTGTCAATTTAATTTGCTCTTTATGTCATTAGTCAATTTTCTCATCACCAAGGCGAGAAAGGTATGAGATGCCAACAAGTTACTATGATGATGAGACTAAAGCTGCAGTAAGTGAAAAAATACATGTACATGTACACAATGCAATTTACCGTATAGTAGGATTATTTTAAGGATGATGAATTTTGTAAATGTATCCGGAAGTTTGTAGAATTAATTTTTGCAGATTACCACTATTCTGCCATTTTGTACCTTATTAAATTGATTT